CTCTCAGAGCCTGTGAGAGATTCTGTAAGGTTCTGAGAGCCTCTGAAAGCCTCTGAGAGATTCTGCAAGGTTCTGAGAGAGATTCTGCAAGGTTCTGAGAGCCTCTGAGACCCCCTGAGAGATTCTGCAAGGTTCTGAGAGCCTCTGAGGGCCTCTGAGAGATTCTGCAGGCTTCTGCGAGCCTCTGAGAGCCTCGAAGAGATTCTGCAAGGTTCTGAGTCTCTGGGAGGTTCCAAGAGAGCCTCTGAGAGCCTCTAAGATTCTGCCAGGTCCTGAGAGCCTCTGAGAGATTCTGCAAGGTTCTGAGAGCCTCTGAGAGCTTCTGAACGATTCTGCAAGGTTCTGAGAGGCTCTGAGAGCCTCTGAGAGATTCTGCAAGGTTCTGAGAGCCTCTGAGAGCCTCTGAACGATTCTGCAAGGTTCTGAGAGCCTCTGAGAGCCTCTGAGAGATTCTGCAAGGGTCTGAGGGCCTCTGAGAGCTTGTGAGAGATTCTGCAAGTTTTTGGTAGCCTTTGAGAGCCTGTGAGAGATTTTGCAAGGTTCTGAGAGCCTCTGAGAGATTCTGCAAGGTTCTGAGAGACTCTGAGAGCCTTTGAGAGATTCTGCAAGGTTCTGAAAGCTTCTAAGAGCCTCTGAGAGATTCTGCAAGGTTCGGAGAGCCTCTAAGAGATTCTGCAAGGTTCTGAGAGCCTCTGAGAGCCTCTGAGAGATTCTGCAAGGTTCTGGGAGCCTCTGAGAGCCCCTGAGAGACTCTGCAAGGATCTGAGAGCCTCTGAGATTCTCTGAGAGATTTTGAAAGGTTCTGAAGGCCTCTGAAAGATTTTGAGAGAGATTCTGCAAGGTTCTGCGAGCCTCTGAGAGCCTCCGAGAGTATCTGAGAGATTCTGCAAGTTTCTGAGCGCCTCTGAGAGATTCTGCAAGGTTCTGAGAGCCTGTGAGAGAATATGCAAGGTTGTGAGAGCCTCTGAGAGCCTCTGAGAGATTCTGTAAGGTTCTGAGAGCCTGTGAGAATTTCTGCAAGGTTCTGAGAGCCTCCGAGAGCCTCTGAGAGGTTCTGAGAGCCTCTGGAAGGTTCTAAGCGCGGTTCTGAGAGGTTCCGAGAGAGGCTCTGAGAGGTTCTGAAAGATGCTGCAAGTTTCTGAGAGCCTCTGAGAGAGCCTCCGAGAGCCTCTGGGAGATCCTGCAAGATTCCGAGAGCCTCTCAGAGAGCCTCTGAGAGGTTCTGAGAGCGGTTCTGAGAGCTTCTGAGAGGTTCTCAGAGCCTCTGAGAGGTTCTCAGAGCCTCTGTGGTGTTCTGAGAGAGGTTCTGAGAGCATCTGAGAGGTTTAGAGGGAGGTTCTGAGAGCTTCTGAAAGGTTCTGCGAGAGGTTCTGAGAGCCTCTGAAGGGATCGGAGGCAGGTTCTGAGAGCCTCTGAGAGGTTCTGAGAGAGGTCCTGAGAGCCTCTGAGAGGTTCGGATACAGTTTCTGAGAGCCTCTGTGAGGTTCTGGGAGAGGTGTTGAGAGCCTCTGAGAGGTGCTGAGACAAGTTCTGAGAGCCTCTGAGAGGTTCTGCGACAGTTTCTGAGAGGTGCTACTATTGCTACTACTACTACTACTACTACTACTACTACTACTACTACTACTACTACTACTACTACTACTACTACTACTACTACTACTACTACTACTACTACTACTACTACTACTACTACTACTACTACTACTACTACTACTACTACTACTACTACTACTACTACTACTACTACTACTACTACTACTACTACTACTACTACTACTACTACTACTACTACTACTACTACTACTACTACTACTACTACTACTACTACTACTACTACTACTACTACTACTACTACTACTACTACTACTACTACTACTACTACCATTACTACTACTACTATTGCTGCGACTACTACTACTACTACTACTACATCAGCTACTACTATTACTATTACTACTACTACTACTACTACTACCAATATTGTTACTATTACCATTACTACTATCACTACTACCACTACTACTACTACTACTACTACTACTACTACTATTACTACTACTACTACTACTATTGCGACTACTACTACTACGACTACTACTACTATTCCTGCTACTAGTCCTAGTACTAGTACTATTATTTAATACTGCTAGGACTACTGCAACTACTAGTAGTACTATTACTACTACTACTACTACTACTACTACTGTTGCTACTACTACTACTACGGCTACTACTACTACTAGTACTACTACTACTACTGCTACTACTACTACTACGATTACGACTACGACTACTACTACTACTACTACTACTACTACTACTACTATTACTACTACTGCTACTACTACTACTACTACTACTACTACTACGACTACCACTACTACTACTACTCCTACTACCCCTTGTACTCCTACTACTATTACTGCTACTACGATTACTACTACTACTACTACGACTACTACTACTACTACTACTACTACTACTACTACTACTACTACTACCACTATTACGACGACTACTACTACTACTACTACTACTACTACGACTACGACTACTACTACTACCACTACTACCACTACTACTACTACTACTACTACTACTACTACTACTA